CACACACACACACACACACACACACACACACACACACACACACACACACAGTGTCGCTGTTACTTCAGAGACACACAAACAGGCGCTCTGTGTTTGTTGGAGTCCAGCAGGTTTCTGTGAAACTGGGTGAACGACGTGAATCAGATCCTGAGCACCCAGGTGAGTCCGTGCACCTGTGAAGGAAACAGAGCTTTATTTTTTCTATTTTTTATTTTATTTATTCAGTTTGATGGTTTGAATCATGTAAAGAGAAGAATCGAAGTTTGTCAGCATGTTGGACTTTAAGGATCTGACCAGTCACAGCTGGAAAAGGACTTCAAACTGTTTCCTTTAGGAGAGGATCCGACAGGTAAGAAACTATTTTCACCATCGACACCATTTTTATCTAAAGTGTGTCGTGAAACGTCGACACCTGATGGTTCAGAAATGAATTTGGCTCCAAACTTCAGGTTTTACTGGTTTCTGGAGCTGCAGTTTCACAATAAAACAGATTTTATCAATGTTGCAGAAATATATTTCATTTAGTTTGATGAAATATATATGTTATGAATTAAAAACCATTCTGGGATGATGATCTGTAACTCAGGTGTGATAAACCTGTCAGAAACACATCGAAGGTGAAACTGAAGACAGTTTAAAACAAAAGCTCTGCTCTGGTTCTCAGTCTGAGGTCAGTCACCCTCCATGTTCATCGTTTTGTGTTTGTTTAAAGTTTGTCTGCGGCTTCAGGTCAAAAACTCTGCTTTTAAACTGAATATATACAGTATTTTTTTATGCTTTTACCAACAAGATCTGCTCATTTAATTTCCTTAAAATGATCAAACGACAAATAAAAACTGTTCATAATCAGTCCTAATCTGCATAATCTAAACTTTATTTAATCCAAGTCTAAACTAGAGAAATTGTATTTCCTGCTGTGTGAATGCTTCGTGCTGAAAACTTAAGCTGAAAGCTGCTGAAAATGAGCTGAAAATATTTAATAGCAAAAATGTTAATGTGAGCTCACTTTGAAAAGCTGAAAGAAGCAAAGAAAAAAAAAACTAAACTTTCCAGAAAAACAGTAAAAGGAGCACAAATCTAGTTGAAAACAACAGAAAACAGCTAAAAGCTAAGAGCTAAAATAGCTGAAAATTGCTGAAAACATCTGTAAGAAGCATAAGTAGCAAAAGAAGTAAAAAAGCAGAAGAATAGCAAAAGGAAGCAAAATAATAGCTGAAAAGGCAGAAAATGCTAAAATTAGCATAAAATAAGCTAAAAAGTTGAAATTAGCACCTAGATAGTGAAAGTGCTGTAAAAATTTTTAAAAAGCAGAAAACAACAAAAAAGTGACAGTTTTTATTAAATTAGCTAAAACTGCCAAAATTTTCAGTAAAACAGCTAAAGTAAAATTATGTAAATTATGTAATTAGCTGAAGGAAGCATAAGGAGGACAAGTTTGCTGAAACATAGCAGAACAAAGCTGTAATTGCTACATAAAAATGTGCATTTAGCTGTATTTAGTAGCTAAACTTGCAGCAAATATAGCAGAAGACATCGGTAAGAAGCATAAATAGCACAAACTAGCACAAAATCAAAAAGTGTAGAAAAAAGCAGAATAGTAAAAATAAGCAGAACTATAGCTAAAACAGCCAAACAATAGGCTAAAATTACCACAAAATCAGGTAAAGTAGCAGCCATAATTTGAAATTATTACACAAATAGAGAAAAACTTGCAAAAAAATGAAAATTAGCAGAAAAAACTGTGTTAAAGTACAAAAAAATGACGTTTTTCAGGAAAATAGCWAAAACAGCCAAAAAGTTCAGTAAAGCAGCTAAAAAAACTGAAAATTATTTAATTAGCATAAGGAATCAAAAGGAGCACAAGTTTGTTGAACTTAACTGAAAAAAGTTGTAAAATTTACAAAAAATTGTATTTAACTTAGAAAAGCTAACTTGAATAAATTCACAAAATTTGTGAAACGAGGAAGATGACGAAAAACGTGTGGAAGAAATAACAATCTGAAACCTGTGAAGCTTTCATACAACAAACTGATCAGTGTGTAAAAACTGCAAATAAATAAATAAAT